CAATCGAATAACAAAGGCTGTTGAGAACCAGAAAATTACACCGAATATTATCTTTGCGATTAAGTGCGCTTTCTTGTCGACCTTGAGGAGCGTGAACGATACTCCAGCATTTTAAGCAGCTACTTACAGCTTCCAATGAATTGAATTTTCACGCACGTAAGTACATACATACATATGTATATCTGATGAGGAAAAAGTCTACTCCTTAGTACTGCTGTAGCGGAAAATAAACAAAAAACGACGAAACCTGATCACCGGAGCCTGAGAGCGCAGTGTGGTCAAAACCGAACGCGTTGGGCGCATCATCATCGGTCGCTACGGCCGTTGGCTGAGCACAACCATTGCGTTTTATGACTGGTAACGTGATTTTTTATACATACATACTTATAGGAATGTTAATTTTATTGCAGAATGAACTTAATGTCAGCGCGTGTTCGCAAAAGTGCGATAAAAGACAAAGCAAGTAAGTAAAGATACCGGCGATCGTTGCCGAAACATTAACCTTGCATATGGATTTAGTTTGTTTTCTTTTTATTTTATGTTCGATGCGGTTTTGAAGAATTTTTTAACTGAAACGTACGATGACATGGCCGAGTATAAGTTGTCAACTGTAAAAATCAGCCGCTCAAGCCGAGCATGCAGCAACAAATGATATACATATGTACATACATTAGATATATTGCAAAGGGGTTCATAATCGCACACATACATATGTATAGGCTGAATCACTAATGTCAGTAACTGAGACATATATATCAATATTAGTTAATGCTTATTTTCAATTTATCTTCGCTTCTCAATGTGTCTTTGAGCATCTTTCATTCGCTTGCTATGCAGTTTTTACTCAAGCGCTACAGTTCATTTAAATTCCAAGCTTGACAAGCGTTACTGATTAATATCAGTCTATTAAATAAATAACCAACTAAATTGTCAGTAAATTTATGGGTGCTGCCAGTTAGCTTAGCGCTTGGGCTTGTGATCGAGAGCGCGCTATACACGTAATCTTCCGTATCAAGGCATCAAAGCTTTTAACGCAACGATCAGCGATTAGCCACTCGATCACTGTCGCATGTACATTAGACTGCATCACCAAAAAAAGTTGCAGTTTTTCCGCCGGGATTACAAAATTCATTATATTTTAAGATGTCCACCAAAATATTTCGGAAAAATATTAAAATTTAAGCGAGTTGGACCGATTTGAAAATACCTCCAAAAATTAANTTTTTCCATTGGAATTATAAAATTTATTATATTTTAAGACGTCCACCAAAATATTTCGGAAAAATATTAAGATTTAAGCGAGCTGGACCGATCTAAAAATACCTCCAAAAATGAAGTTTTTTACGAATAAAAATAGTTTCTTAAAGAACTTTTTGAAAAAGATCCCCTCAGATGACAAATTAGATTAAGCTTAAGAAATCTGCATAAAAATATTTGAAAATCTTTTCAACGGAATCGTAAGAATGAGATTTTTGATGCCGTTTTTTTACTTTTGCAAAGATTGGTTTACGAGAAACTTGAATAACTGGGCCAAAAATGTTCTGATTCAGACTTATGGGATCTCAGTAGAAAGGTATTTTCACACTGTTTTTATTTCTGGGCATAAAACCGTTATTCGTGTCCCTTGTCTTGTTTTTTCGAATACCAACACATCTTAATTCAACTTTGAATGACGCTCGTTCATCCTACCTTTCTCTTCCATCATTTGAATGAGTTTATTAGCAAAGAAATAAAAAGGGTGAGAAAATACCTTTCCAATGACACCTCTTAAGTCTAAATCGGAAGAGTTTAGGTTGAGTTATTAAAGTTTTTCCTATACCAATTTTTGAAAAAAGTTAAAAAACAGCATCAAAAATCTCATTCTTACGATTCCGTTCAAAATTTTTTTTTAGTTTTTTTTAAATATTTTTATGCAAATATTTTAAGCTTAAACCGTTTTGTCATTTGAGGGGATTTTTTCAAAAAAAATCTTTAAGAAACTATTTTTATTCATAAAAAACTCCATTTTTGGAGGTATTTTCAAATCGGTCCAGCTCACTTAAATCTTAAAATTTTTCCGAAATATTTCGGTGGACGTCTTAAGATATAATAGATTTTATAATTCCAGTGGAAAAATAGTACCGATTTTTTTTTTTTGTATGGGGAGTGATACAGTCTAATGTACATAAATAGTACGCTGATCAAGAATTTTATATGCAAATTAGTGTAAGCACGTATTTTTCCCAGTAACTGCATACTGCTTGCGTATGAACTTTAAAGCTACAAAAAAAACGTATCAATTTACATTATCACCACTTACCGCTGTCAATCTCATTTTCGCTGGGATCGCGATTGAACACATCGCTATAGTACTGATCATGTTGTTCCGATTCGACACTTTGCAATGATTCTTGACCATCGTCGGCCACTACTTCATCGACGTCGTCGGCATTGATGTCCGTATAATAGTCGGGCTTTTGTACTGATCGTTCTGTATCTTGTTCCTCAGGTTCGGGCTCAGGCGCTTCAACTAATTGTTGACGATGAGCACCATTGCCACCACCTCTTTGTCGTTGGTTTTGTTTTTGCCCGCCGCTGCCATATCGCTTGCGTCCGGATGTTTTCGCAGTAGGACCGCCACGTCGGAAACTACGGAAAGCTTCAGCGGAGGAGAAGCCACGCGGTCGTGGGCGTTGCGTTGTGGATGAGGAGGGTTTGGGTAGTATTTCCGAAATGGTGGGTATGCGTTCATTTGTGCTGCGATGTGGGAAAAGTCGTCGCTCTAAGTACTTGGCAAATATTTGTTGTGTAATCTGATTTTGCCGCGCGATTTCCGCTTCATCCAGCTGAAAGTCGGCGGAGGCTGAAAGAAAGAGGGAAATCGGGGTTCAATTTTGGTCAGCTTGTGTTTATGATGCATTGAATTACATACATTATAAAGCACTCATTTAACCCATTTAAATAAATAAAAATAAATGTATAAAAATTGTTGTTCAGTAAAATATTTTGTATGCGCCTTGCAGAGCTATGCAGCGAGAGGCGCCTCTTATCCAATTAACTTTATAGCCAATACCATTTTCAATTGTCATAATGAGTAACTACAAGCTTACTACAACAAAATATTAACGTTCCTGTCTTTTGCGCATGCGCGTCGGTGTTCATGTTTTAGCTGTTCAGCTGCTCAACTTTCTATCCTTGACATAAATTTGGGGAAGCACACACAGCCTCCATGTAGTCATTAAATTGGGTCTGCGTAAATAATATCATTGGTAAATATCGGTTATAAGTACTGCAAACAGCATGGCAAGTGAGCATGCCAAATATTTACTCACATAAATAATTATTCGCGTATGTGTGAATTCAAATTAAAAAATCATCAAAATTTCTTTAAGCGTTAAGAAGCCAAAACTTAAGCACTTACTCGCGCATTGGTACATATTTACTAGTGCAAAAAAAAAGAGAAGCAGTAGGAAGACTCAAATGCGGTCACGCTTGCGCAAATGACATCGTTGGAACGGCATTGAAGTGTGTTAAATGATTTATTTGGTAATTCTTTTTGACTGTTTTTTTTTTTAAAAAAGATGTGCAAAAATTTCGTATTAATCGATTTTTATTTTAAATTTGATTGATTGCAGTGCGAAACGCAGTTCAAATACAAAATGCATCTATTTGACACCTTATATTATTTTTTCTTCGTCAACAACGTGGACGTGGAGTTTTCTTTGGAAGTTGACTTCAATTGTAGGCCACATTATTACAAAGATGAAGCACCTGATTGGTAAAAAATATTTTGACAAAAAATAGTGCTTAATACTTCTATGCGAAATGGTTGGACGAAATCATTACTTCGAATTGGAATTTAAGTTTAATCTGCCTAGTTCCCAAAAAGTGTGAAGGAGCTTTGTTGAACTGCATCAAATTTGGCATGTCGGAAAAATGCTGACTTATTCCGTTTGGTAATTAACCGATTTATATATACACAACTCCTAAGGCGGTGAACTCTGCCACTATAAATTCGGTAATAGTTTCTAACTGCCACAAATCCCCGCCGTAAAACCCGGTATGGGTACTGGGATATGGTGACATACTTCGACTCTACTTTCACCAGCCTGGACGGAGACAAGCATTCCACTCGCTTTCTGCAAACTCGTACTAAGGAGACACTAATGACTATGATTATTGAAAGGATGCATCTGGATAGACAGACATGCAGAATGCATCTTGGTCCACCACAGTGGCTTCTGCCGAAGCTGCCACGATTGATTGCCCTGAATTCGGCAGAAAGAGACACACATTTTTGGGTACATACTTTTTGGGTAATCTGAGCTCAACGGCTAAGTTTGGAATACGGTAGTTGCTAAGTTTTAATAAACTGGTAAAAAAAGGAGTGGGGGTTCTATATAATTGCAGTATTATAATGGTGGGCATTCCGTCTAGCCTAGGTGTGCTGGCTCAGCGGCCACTTCAACCTATCTACCATTTATAGAAACGAAATCTCTATCCCTAAAAGTATTCGATACCGAAACCACATAGCAAGAGGAAGGCATCCTCTTCGTTAAAAAGACTGCGTGAAAAAAAGGATCGGCTTCACGTAGTATTTTTGATTGGCTTCTGCTAGCG